TAAGCTTTCCCCCCCTCCCCCCCCCCCCCCCCCCGAAATTCTGAATTTCATATTATATATAAAAATCCCCCCAGCCCTGACTACTTGGTTTGAAAGTGAAAAGCAGATGCTTCTCAAAATGTTTGTTGCCAAAAAGTAAATTCACTCAGGCCCTCTAAGACAGGCTGAACAGTGCAAGCTCATGAATTTGGTAGCAAGAATGTTGTATCTGCACAGATCACATTCCCATTTATTTTGCCTGTATGCTAATGTAATCAAAACGGATTTTATGCCTCCCAAATGTCTCAGGTGTCTTTTCTGAAAAGTTAGGAGAATTTTTGAGTCATTGAACAAACACAACTTGAATATCCCAGAATTGCTTATAATAATTCAAAGATATTTTCAGGTTGACATCTTAATAATGTCATATCTTGATGTTCCTCTGTATACTAAACATTTTTTTTAATTTCAGAAAGCTTCAACTAAAATAAGTAATATACAAGCAAGATACTTAATGTCAAAGAATTATTTTTTATTAGGGTTTTGATGTGAATAAATTATCTGAATTATTCTGTGTCAGAGAGAGTTTTCCATTAGATAAGTTGTTACTTGGTCTTATTTTTGTATTAATTTTGTGAAAAGGTAAATTTCCCAGGGTCCAGAAAGGTGAAGTCTGTAAATTACAGACAGTTTTGTGTTTAACGTGGTTGCACGTTACCGCAGCATAGTTGGCATTAAGTTGTATCTGTCCTTCTGTAGACTGTCTCTCTGGAAACATGGGAAAAAGCCAGACTGGGACTCAGAAAAGTAGGAAAAACGCTTATGTAAAGAGATAATTAGGAAATCATCAGCTGTGTCTACTCACTCTGGTGATTGATTTAGTTATTAGCAGGGCTGATCAATACATTATCTTGCTTAGTGCATTGGTAATCCTTCCAAACATTTTTCTGTGCTTTTGAGGTTATTGTAATTCTCGTTTCCAAAAGGAGCTTACTAACTAAAGTGTGGCTGCATTCTGGAAGGTAAAGGTGTTCAGAGTTTGCTGTCTTTCCATAATTGCAATTAAAATATGACAGATTTTCATAGCAGGCTTTGTGCTCAGATCATATCGTGGTGAACATATGTGCTACGTGCTGTAGCAGGAGTGTGCAGGTGCAGTTGGGCTGGGGGAAATTCTGGTAATGTCTCAGGATCTGTTTCCATCTTGTTATCTTCTTATTTTTATTACTTTCTCAGAGTCAGTAGATGTGAGTAGCAGAAAGATCCCATCAAATGTAAATAAACTAAAAGAAATGGCGAATTGCATCTGTTTTTCCTTTGAACAATGGTACCTCCTTTGAATGGCATGAATGTAACTTGAGCTTTGCTCTTTTTCAGCTATCTGTTAAACCCCTACACTGTGATGTCTTGTGTGGCAAAGTCTACCTGTGCCATCAACAATACCATCATTGCATTCTTCATTTTAGCTACAATAAAAGGTAACGCAATGAAAAAAAACCAGTTCATTATGTCTTTCTATAAAGATTAGAAAATCAGCAGAAATTAAATCAGAGTGGAACTTTGCAAATATGATTGCTACAAAGATCTCAGTGAAACACAACAGAAATGGAGACTGGAACAAGGTCAAAGTTCTACATGAAATTACAAGAGATCGAGACTTTACTATATAGTCAAAACTTGCTTTCATCTCAATGTACCTAGGAGTTTAATTTCTGAAAAGTGGCCCTTTTTCCTGGATGACTTTGAGTAGTTTTCTGTTTATGAAGAAACGAGTGTCTGTGTCTATGTATAGGAGGACATAATGTACATGAATACTTAAAGTGCTGTATACAATTTTATTTTCAAAGCGTATCCTTGAACATTTATTCAAAAGCAAATAGTTGCCTGCAGCTATTATTTGGCCTTCACTCACAGTGGTAACCTTGGTTTGAAATTAGCTAATTGAGCGTTGGGGAAGCAGAAACAGTTAACCAAAGACCCATACCGGCACAGTTGAATAGATTATGACAAAATAGCTGTTTCATTCATTTTGTGCATAATGCCAGGTTTCTGTTTCTTTTATGACTCCGCAGGGCTAAAGTCTTTTAGCATATGTGATTTGTACTAGTCACATAAGTTTTAAGAGTTTTATTCTGGATCACAGGAAAGATCAGTCTGATCTCTTGTCTCTAGCAGTGCCCAGACCCAGACCTTGCGAGGAAAGCTGATATAGATTGCTTTATTAGTGTTTCCAAAAGAAAGTTTTCCTCCAATTATTGACTAATTGAGACAGGAGGGCTTTTCATTTAAAAGCGTTTGCAAAAGCAAATGAGTGGGGTTTGTTTAGTTAAACTGATTTTTAACTGTTCACTGATACCGTAAGATGAATAGTTCAGTCATAGACAAAACTGTAGTGGCTGTCCCCTGTGTTTTCTCCCTGATTGGGAGTGTGGCAGCCTCTAGATTTTAAAGTGGGCAAAGAGAAGATTATAACTGTGATTTCTGGGTACCGATTCTTTAGATCTGTGCAGAATTGAACGCTCGATAAAACAGAGCATAGGGAGGTTTCTGTCTAGGAGAGTGTAGTTGAAGAATGGAGGAGGCTCATCAACAGGTAACCCTATATTTTTATCTTTCAAAAGCTGGAAGCAGAGGGAGGCTTTCCGATGTTTGCTGTCAGTAGACTGACAATTAGGCCAATGTACTGAATCAGGATTCTGGCTGTCTAAGCTGTGTTTTCACAGACTACTTCCATCAAGTGGCATAAAACTGAAAGCCATAACCAGGCTACTTCACTGGGTGCTTATATTTTTATTGTTTAACCTGGGACCTTTTGGTCTTGATTTCTGGTGTTGGTAGCTGAGCAGTGTGAGTACTCGGCACTGAGACACCTCAAATAAAGCTTCCTCAATAAAGGCATTTGTATTTTTAAGACTCCTTGGAAAAGCTATGCTAATCCTTTCTATGCCTCAGTTTTGGTATCTGTAAAGTAGGACTAATGCCACTTCATTCCTTCAGCTGCAGACTGTCGCTTGCTCTCTTTCACAGAGCTTTGCTGAGAGCTCTGCCGTATTCTGGTGACGAGGTTATCCAGCAAGCCCAGTATGAGCATAACAGCTGTTTTGTGCGGATATGACTTAAGTGAATGTATTCCCACGTGTAAGCAGCAGCCAGCATCGTTTATATATAGACTGAATTACATGAGTCTCTTTCTGTATGTGAATGATAGGAGATATAAACCAGTCAGCGTTTATTGAGTTTCTTGAGGGAGAATCATCTTGGTGTGAGTCATTCTCCATTCAAAATGTAGTCAGGAAAAGGACACTCTCCAGGACACATTCTGCTAAAAACACCTTTAAGTAGTGTTCTGGTATCTTTAAAGTCCTTGCAGAAAGGATGTTTCTTCCTATTTGGAGTTCCTTACAAATGAACTTTTGTTTTTTCTTTGCAGGTAGTGCCTTCCTCAGTGCTGTGTTCCTGGCCTTAGCAACATACCAGTCACTCTACCCTCTCACATTGTTTGCTCCTGCTCTCCTTTACCTTCTACAGGTAGATGATTTCTAACTGTTGGTACCTGTCGTCTTCTTGTAGCTGTGCAGGGACAGTCCTTAGCTATTGAGAGAGGAGTTGGGCAAGTCCTGAGTTTCAGAAAAAGTGACTCTCTTCAAGCCATGGGAAGTTTGAAGCCTTAATAGGGATGCCTGTGTATAGAGAGAAGGGAGCAGAACTGACTGGTGTTTAGCTTGCCCAAAATAAGGGCTATTGTTTGTGTTGTGTGAATAGCAATGAGGATTTTAGACCTGGAGAAGAGAAATGAGGAGCTGTGTGTTTAAATCGCTCAAACTGGGAAATGCTGATTTGGAGTTTGATGGCAAAAGGTATGTGCTTGTGAAAGTGGTTGGTTGCCCTTGTCCTTTCTCCCTCCCCATTAACAGGACCCCTGAATTCCAGCAGGGCTGACCTTGATCACTCATGGGTACACAGTGCCTCAACAGACAGACACTGCTCCAGGCAAAACTAGCCCAGCAGTACGCTGGTAGGCACATCTGCAGGCAGGGGTAGGCTTTAAAGCTGAGGCAGCTCTGTGCTAGTGAGTGGATTCATCACCGGTTTGCCTGCATGCTTCCAGCTGGTCTCTCTCTTAAGTCTTATGCTCATACTGTAAACAATGACTTAACCTAGAATCCAAATTGTAATGCACTTAATGCAAATGACCAGTTTTCTAATCTTATACTGATGTGGGAGCAAGCTGAGGCTGTGACCTCTAGCAGAGGACTCTTATCCTAATTCACAGATCACTTGGTGATCATTTTTATTATTTTTGCTATTCTGAAAGTCCTGCTGTTGAGTGTTTTGCCAGCCTTTCTTGGTTGCTTCTGTCCTGTCTTCCTCATGATTTTTATAGCTCATCTTAACTACAGGTTCATTACAGCCTATTCGCAAATCTCTGAGCTTCAAAAGAGAATGGAGAGTGAGTTCTACTCCATTTTCTTTCCCTGACTATCTGACATGAATATCTCTTACTTTTTTCCAGAAATTCTATTATGAATACCTTTTGCAAGACAAGAACTTCTGCAGAGTCTGTTGATGTTTTTTAGGAGCATTTACTTTATATATTGTATATTCTGGTCTTATTTGTTCTCTTTTAACTTTAGTCAAAGTGGCAGTAAAGTACAAGCATTGTGTTCGCAAGCAACAACAAGTGCTTTGATATGTGAATGCCTAATTTGCAACTTCTAAAGGGGATCGTGCTAGTGTGTGTTCTTTTATCCAGATTTGCAAATGAACTTTCCTGCATTCTTTATACAGAATTAAATAGCTTTTCTCCAGCAGTTTCCAATCTGCTCTGCCAAAAGTCCTTGGTAAACTTGCTTACATTGTTACAGCAAGTGGTGTTAAACATACTATAATGAGAAAACAGGGCATGCTTTACGCAGAGCCCACATGAGTTAGAGCTGGTGCTCTGTACATCTCTTGCCAGTGTAAACACTCATACCAAATGCAGAAGGTACATCACTGACTTGGAGCTGCAGAACTCGGCAATTCCCGAAGGTGTTTGCCCCTGTCTGTATATTCATCTTTACAAATGCAGTCAGGGGACCTCTTGGAGTGAGATACCCATATGTCATGTTACGTGACAAGGGCTTGTGGTTGACCTATTGGGACATGTGGCAATGGCAGGACTGCAGCAGTTTTTGTTGTCTGAGGAGGCAACCTTTTAGAGGGGCTCCTTTGTGCTTAGGAACTCACTTCAGCAGAGCATGAGTACCAGTCCATGTGGTGGAGACCTGGCATCACAAGGTGGTGGGTTGTGGAGCAGGTCTCTCGATCACCCACTTGATGTGGGTTCATGCAGCAGAAGGCAGGCAGCAGTACAGTATTGCAAACATCTAAGATGTAGCTGTGAGGAGGTGTGTGTAAATCTACATTAAGTGCATGAGACTTGACTGGCTGCAAGCAGAAATGACCAACTTAGCTGCTGTATTTTCAAGCACAGTCCTGGAAGTATGTGCAATGTGTATGACTTAATTGGCCAGAGTGAAGAACATCTAGTAAATTGTGGTGAGAGCTACTTCTTCCAGTGCCATAGTGCCAGTGGTCGATGCTTTCTTTCATCGATTTAAAATGATGTTCTGAACACTGAGGCTTTCTTGTGGCTTTCCACCTGATGAGGTATATCTGCCTGCTTGTATTTCATTTTCAGCGTCAGTTCATACCAATAAAACTGAAAAGTAAAAGCTTCTGGCTCTACACCATGCAGTATGCAGCCCTGTACCTGTGTAGCCTAGTGGTCATCATCTGCCTCTCCTTCTTCCTCCTCAACTCCTGGGATTTTATTCCATCTGTCTACGGGTTTATGTAAGTATAAGGATTCTTACTGGTTTTCTCTGTCTAGCCCTCACTATGTTGTTTCTTGTGCATCACACACAGGTGCCCTGCTCCCAGTCCTAAGGAGCGCGTGATCTGTGATTTTACTGGCAATGTAAGTAAAGAAAGAGTGTTTTTAAGAGTGTGTGGAGGAGAGCAGACATTAGCCAACTTGTGTTAATTAAATAACAGCAAGAACTAGAGAAGATAGGAGATGTTTTTCACTGAGTTAATTGGAAATCGATTTGATTGTTGAGCTACCATGGCTGTGAAATTTTCATCTCTGGAGAAATGTCTGCTTGGGAACTGTTTAAATCGTGCTGAAGCATAAGGAAGGATTAGCCTCTTTTCTTTCCAGGTTTTCACTGCTTTGGTTTCTCTTTCACTGGATTTTAAAATATAGGTTCTCCATCCAGTAGCGCACAATGATTATTTAATGTAACAGAAGCAGAGCAGTGAAAAACAACCATTTAAGAGTGTTATATTGACTTTTCTTTTCAAATTTCAGCCTTTCTGTTCCAGATCTGACACCCAATATTGGCCTTTTCTGGTACTTCTTTGCAGAAATGTTTGAACATTTTAGTCTTTTCTTTGTATGCGTGTTTCAAATCAACGTGTTCTTCTACACCATTCCCCTGGCAATAAAGCTAAAGTAAGTATGTTTCTCTGCTAGTTTTTTTTCTTCTCAGTTGTCTTATGGAAGCTTATAAGGCTGGTGTTAGATGTCTGGATCTACAAGCTTGGAAAAGTAGTTTTTTTAACAGGGCCTATCCGCCTCATTTCCCAAAGTTTCAATATTTATTCCTCTTAAATAAAGTGAATTGGGCTCTGCTATGCAGCAGATGTATTACAGGCATCAAAAGAGAGAGCAGAGATTTAGGCTATAGAGGTGCCTGCTCCCTGCCAGCATGAGCTAGTGTAGTCAGAAAGCAAGAACTCTTGGCTGGAACTTCAAGTTCTTTATGGTCAGAAACAAAGTGAAAACTTGGGGATATTCCTAGTGGACTGCGCTGACAACATTACCCTTCTTTCTGATAAAAACACCCATTAAGATGCCTGGATTCTCAGTGAGCTTATCCTGTTGACTTGGAATGGATACAGACATCGTGACATACCAGAGGGGTATTTATGGGATTCTCCAAATAACTTTCAGAGAGGAGGTGCTGATTGCTTTTCGGTGAATAGAGAGCTGGGGAGAGCAGCCCAGATGTCCAACTATATAAATGTATGTTGAGTTGAGGCACAAAGTTTCTGTGTGAGAGCAGTGAGCAGATGTGCATCCCCTTATGCTGCCGCTCTGCAAAGCAGCTCAGTCTACCCCACCCAGCACTCAGGGGTTTGTCTGGAGAGAACAGGGGTACAAGAGCCTCTTTGAGCATATCCCACAGTACATTTGTGCCCTTGCTGGTATTTATTTCCAGTTTCCAGAGACCCTACATACTTCTTATCCTTTGTGTCTTATTCTTTCTAGGGAACACCCAGTGTTCTTCATGTTTGTCCAGATAGCAATCATTTCTATCTTCAAGTCTTATCCCACTGTGGGAGATGTTGCACTGTACATGGCCTTCCTTCCAGTCTGGAGTCACCTTTACAGATGTAAGTTCTTTGTGTTTGATTGTTCCTTATCTGGAATGGGAAAGGGCCTGTCCACTAATTGTCACCACTAAAACCAGGCCCATGTCCACAGGCTCTTGTGGCCTCCTTGGTGTGTCTGGAAGGAGGCTTGAGTTTTTTCTGGTGATACAGTCTCCAATGTGAATTTACGAGTAGGTTTGAAAATGGTTGAGGAGGGAATCACAGAATCACTAGGTTGGAAAGG